CGAGTATAAGCCGAGGCGGCTTTTTTCAGCCCAAAAAGGGGGCTGAAAAACTCGGCTTATACTTGAGTATATACGGTACATTCCAAGAAGGGGTGGACAGACCAAGGGAAAGACTCAATTTGATTTCATTAACATTTATAAATAATTAAATATAGCTAATAAGATTCTGCCATCACGCATTTAATTACTTGTCGCTTTTTTCATATTTGAAATTATGCTTCAGTAGTTCTCGGGGGAGGCCTCCCCCCCCCACAGTTAAGGCTTCAGATTGTCCCCCTCTGATCTAATTTAACAATTCAATCCGCACTGCTGCATATGCAAATTTCAGGTGGGTGGAAAGCACTGAACACTGAGAATTCTGATCGATGACACAAGAGCAGACTAATTCCCTTTTTAAAAATGGTGCCCGTTTGCTGATGAGCTGGTAAAATGCATATGGTTTGCACAGTATCCGCTTCAATAAAACCGCCTTTTTCAAACACCGATTCAAATTCAGGCGGTGAACCACTTGTGCAGCTTCTTCAAATGCAGGAAAGCCCTGAATTTCAGCCCCGGGGTTTTGGATAAAATCTCGTTTATAAAAGCTATTTTGGGGGAGGGGTGAGTGGGTTTGGAAGTAAAACTGGGGATTCGGAATTTATCAGCTTTCCTGCATTGCATAATGCAGGTAGCATTTGATCCGGGCTGACTATGAGCACTTTCGCCTAACAGAAAATAGTTATGTGAAAACTAATTATCAGAACAAAGCAATTTGTATGCCAACTGCTTCACTGATTTAAGTCTTCTGCCACCATAGTTTAAGAGCTCTATTTTCAGAACACTTTTCTTACACACAGCAGTGACACACGACATCACAAATACTATTTATTTTCCATATCATCTATCTACTTTTTCTCATTATTCTGTTAGTTTTTCAAAAAGGTAGCAATTGCTACCACCAGGGCATAGCAAAAAAACAATAATTAAATCACTAATAAACCATTTTTACAGTTGGATTAGCAAAGTAGTTGGAATTAACACTATGGCTTGTTTTCCTCCAGATGATTTTTTTTTCTCAAACTAAACCAAACACTCAATCTACCTTCTTGCCATTCCTCGGGAAATAGTCAGGTATTAATTCAGGGTGCATACCAATTCTGATTAAATCGGAAATCTAATTATCTGCTTGGATCTGGTACAACAATCCCTTTCTAAAAAAAGTGGAAACACATTCCGACTGTACAGGAGTTTGGAATTTCAAGATGGCATTGAACTATGACTTCAGGCAGCATAGGCAACATTGAGGGAGACTAGCAGAGGTGGGTTCCTACCAGTTCGCACCTATTCAGTAGAACCGGTTCGTCAAATCTACAGAACCGGTTAGAAGAGGTTCCACCAGTGGACCCGGAAAGCANTTCTAGTAAAATGCTATTAAATATAAGATAACATATTTAAACCTATTCATTTATATATACCAAAACAAGTTTTAGCTACAGATTACAACATATTGGAGAAAGCAGATTTATCTTTTATAAGTAAAGAAATAAATTGCATGTTAATTATTTTGGTAGAAATTGCAAAATCATTTTTCTCTTTGTGCAAGTTTTCAAACGATACAAAAACCCTTGACATTTCCCCCCCCCAAAAAAAAATTAAGACACACTCTACTCCCTGTAAAATTTAAAAACAGTATTTTGTTCTGAACCTGAATTCAATGTGAAACTAAATAAATGTCAACTTATCTATTGAACAGAATATAAAAAGATTATGCCCCCAAAAGAATTTACCACCAGATATCTATATTTCATAAGAATGTCAAAGGCTAATTTGTTGCAATATTCAGATCTGAAAAGGTCTTATCAAATATAAGGTTTTTTCAAGGCATCCAACCACTAAGATACGAAAGTTTTAACCCTAATTTATAAATAAGCTATAACAGCATATTACACTCTACCAAAAAAATAAAACCATGCTATAGATTATACATGAAACACATTTACAGTATTTCAAGTACTATAGATTATTGCCATGTTAATGTCTATGGAGATTCTCCATCATCCAGGTTCATTATTATCCCAAAGGTGTTTTTTCAAGAGGCAACTAGTTTTTCTTTGAAGGCATTTCACTTCTCATCCAAAAAGTTTCTTCAGCTCTGACTGGATGATGGGGAATGGAATCCAGAAAGTCCACTTGCCTCTTGAAAAAGAATTATTACTAAACCCAGTCAAAGTCTGAATCATAGTTTGAAAACCTCAGTGTGGTCAATCACATCTGGATCAACGAACTATAATTTAGGGTGCTGTACTACCCTCTGAAGTAACAATGATAGTCCAGAGCCCAATCTCTGCAAATACATCTGTCACATAATTCATGGCCTAAGTGGAAGCTCGTGTTGCCCAGTGTTCCTCAAGGGAAATACCAGAAAGGAAATCAGAAGCTTCTCAGAAGAGGCAGCTCTTCTCGGCCACGCACTTCAAGGGAAACGCAACACCCCAAGATGCCTGCGCATGTGCCCTCATCTTCTGCAGCATGGTGCTGCAGGTCAAGGCAGGCATCTTGAGGCTCCACGGAAGAGAAGAGAGGAATGGGCCAGAAAGCCACCGATAAGAGACACCTGCTGTGGCTTGTTAACTCTGAGAGGCAGCCTTATTTGCACCTAATACTTACCGCACTGGCTGAATTTTTCCTTAAGCTTCTGCCAGGTCAAGTCAAAAGGAAGCTGAAATGAAGACAAGCATAGAGTAGTAACCTTCAGGGGGAAAAGCGGGAGAATTATGCTGCTGGTCGGTTTTTAATTCAGAGGCTTACATTTCTGACAAATATTTGGTTGCCTTTTGTGCCTACTCGGTCTCTCACACCGCTTCCCATGGGGCCAGGCACAAATCCTCGATCCATGTCAAGGTTTCTCTCCAGGGCAGATCCCATGGTGGGTCCCATCCGATCAAAACTGGTGCTCATCCGATCCATCCCCATTCCCATCCCCATTCCGCCGGTCATGCTATTCATACCACTTAGTCCACTACCTGCAAAGACAAGAGAGGAACGGAGACAAGGGGAAAGTGAGCTGATCAGGTGGAATTGGGGGTTGCTGCTGTTCTTGCAACGGCAGAGGCATTTCAGCAAAGGGAGCTACATAGTTCTTGTCAATTGCACTGACTAATGTCCACGCGTTTTTCTATTTTCTTTTTCTATTATTATTATTCAATGATGTCTGATTCTCGGAGACTTCCTGAACAAGGCCATGCAGTTTTCTGGATAAGGTTTTTCAGAAGTGGTTGCCATTAAAGGTAAAGGTTCCCCTCGCACATATGTGCTAGTCGTTCCCGGCTCTAGGGGTCGGTGCTCATCTCCGTTTCAAAGCCAAAGAGCCAGCGCTGTCCAAAGACGTCTCCGTGGTCATGTGGC